CCCCATTCCCCCATCCACTCTCCCTGCCCCGATTCCTGAAGCCCTCTGGTGCTTGTGTCCTGAGATCCCGAGGGTGTCCCTGTGTGCTCTCCTGTCCTGAAGCAGACGTGGACAGCGGAAGCTACTTCTTCTAAGTGGGCTGATCTCATGGCCATGGTAACAGGCATGTGCCTAGGTCTGGACAGAAAGACCTGGCAGCAACCTCAGGTTCATGTTCAGCCCTCTTTTCAAGTTTGATCTCACCCACCCGTGGCCTCTATACACTGTGTCCTGAAGGTCAGGTGGGCCACCTGGGCATCTCCCCATCTCTGTGAGGACTTTACAGGGTTGCAGGGCTCAGATTGAGGCCTTGCTGCTAGTGGCAAAATGTAGCTAGTGCAAATATTCTCAAACTAATTGTAAATGTATCTTGATTTAGAAATGTACTTTTTTATGAAAAAGTAAAAAACTTCATGACAAAATCACAATAGAAAACCAATAATTAATAGACAGTGTATAATTATCTTCAAAGGAGTCATTCAGAGACAAGAAGATTCTCTCTTACACAGAAGAAACAGACAATAGTGCAAAACTTTCATTTCAATAAACCAAGAGAAAATGGTATAAATGAAAAAATGTGTGCATCTATTAAATTATTTTTAAAAGAGCAAAATAGATGAATTAAGGAATTATTTGAACTTCCCTCATCTTCCTATATATCTATCTTCTATTTTGCTCTCTATTTTTCTCTGTATGTTTCATATATCATATATATATATAGTGCAATATTTAAACTTGTGTGACTGACTTATTTCACTTAACATCATGTTCCCAAGTTGTGACCATTTACCTAAAAATGCCTTGCTTATCTTTCTTTCTGAGAGTAGTACACCATTGTGTATAAACCATATTTCCTTATCCATTTATCTCTTTATAGAAGTATAGGTTGTTTCCAAGATCTAGTTATGCAAACTGTGCTACTATGTACATGAGTATGTGTGTATTCCTGTAATACAATAATTTTAACTCTCTTAGAAAAATACCTAGCAGGGGGATAGCTGGGACACTGGAAATTCTAGTCTTAGATTTGTCAGTCTTCCCACTGATTTCCATAGTGCTGGTATTAGCTTACACAGTCCTTACAATGACCAGCAAAATTCTTGGTCTAATAGCCTTTATCATTCCAAGACAACTTTCAAGAAAGCACAATTAAAAAGAATGAACTGGTGAGAAAAAAATGCATGTAACTTTTTTCCAGCATAAGTGCTAGTACATTTAAAAAAAATCTCTTCTCAGTGATTGGGAGTTGATATAACTTCAAGGGAACTCTGTGGAATTAAATTTGAAACCCCAATTCAGGTGAATGAATGTGCCTTCAGGGGTAAAAACCAAATAAACAACAACAAAAAATGAAAATAATTTCTCTTTTCTCCCATAAACATACACATGCCATATACCACATTAAACTTTCTAGAAAAAAATGTATAGATGTGTCACTTTCCAACAATTATGCTATTATATATATGCATGATATTATATGTATATGATATTATAAAAATGGTTCAGAAGAATTTCAGTAGATATAGGGAAACTGAAAATATATAGCTAAATGTTAACATCTGAAATAAAAATACATTGATAGGCACAATATCACTTACAATGGAAATTTGTAATAAAAATGAGAGAGAGAGAGAGAGAGAGAGTGCACTCGACCTGCCATAATAGAATCCCTCAGATTGGGTAATCTGTGAACAATATCAATTTATTTCTTATAGTTGCTGCCCTGGGAAGCCCAAGACCAAAGTGCCAGGAGATTTCATGTCTACTGAAGGGCTCACTCTCTGCTCCAAAAAATTGATCCTCCCATGAGGAAAAGAAGGAACACTGGAAATCACATGGTAGGAGAATGGAAGCTTTTCCAAAAATTGTCATGAAGCAGGCAGGTAAAATCCCAAAGGAAGGATACTATAACCCTCTGTCTCCACTCTCCTAACCTTGTGTGAAGGTCTTAGTTAATCTGAACCTCAATTTTGTCATCATCAAAATAGCAGTCTTCATATCCATTTTCTATTGTGATGATCACATTAAAATACATTGTATTCTGTATGTCAGAAATAATTATATAGAGCTTATGTTTTATGTGAAAGATTAAAAGCACATTCTTAGTACATGACATTAAATACTTTGGTGTTTTAGAGTTATATTCCAGAGGTAAAAAATTTCCACTAACATTTTATCTTTATTTCTTATCACTTTTTCTAAATTTAGCATTAAAAATAATCCATAGTTTGACTTCAGAGAATGTCACTAATTCAGTTGTTAACACACCCTAGTGGTCATTAGTTTTCAAGTTATGCTCCCAGGTGCATGGTGAATTTTCAGTCATTCTTTTTCTGTATCTTAAAATATATTGGAAAAAGTTCAATTCATGGAATACATGTGCATGTTCAGGTAGTTTATGCAGTATATTAGTTCTTCAAAAGAGCAGAACTAATAATTAATAGAGAGATATATAGACCTGTATATGAGGAAGATGAAGCAGGTTTTGTTAGGGGAATTAGTTAACATGATTATGGAGCCTAAAAAGTCCCAAAATGTGCTGTCTGGAAGTTGGAGAAACAACAATTTGTTAGTGTGGTTCAGTTCACGATTGAAGGTTTCAGAAGTAATGTAGTTTCTGGTACAAATCTTGGTGTATAAAAGGCAGAAAACCTAGACTTCTGGGCTTCAAAAGGGTAGAAGAATGGGGTCCTAGATCCAAAAGGGAGAAAACGACTAAGTTGGTTTTTATTCCCTTTATTTCTTTTTTCTGTTCAGGCCTTCAGCCTATAAGACAGTGCTTGTTCAAAATTGAGTGAAGACAGACCTTACTCAGGCTGCTTATTCAAAAATCAATATTGTGCTCACTTTGACAGCACATATACAAAAATCAGTATCATCTGGAAACACCCTCAAATTCACAACCAGAAAAAATACTTAGCAAGCTGCCTCATCATCCTTCCTGTGTAGCCACAGTACTGGGAATTGAACCCAGGAAGTTCACACTGAGCTATATCTCTAGCATTTTTTTTTTTTTAGTTTTGAAATAATATCTGGCTAAGTTGTCTAAGCTAGGTTTGAACTTGGTATCCTCAGTACTGCTGAGATTACAGACATGCACCATCATTCCTATCGCTCATCATCCTTTACTTCTGTTAAATTGGTATATGAAATTAACTGTATCAGAGAGAGAGAGAGGGAAAAATACTAAAAAACTAAAACCAGAGAACAAATTCTCCTGGAAGGCATCAGCTGGCTACCATGCTTGGTAAATTCTACTCCAGAGTACAACATTTCTTAATTTGCTTACAATATGCCACCCTCCTATGCAACTTTCTAAAGGACTTCTCCCTTGCTCCACAGATATATTATTAATGAATTTATTTTGCTTTCTTTTTGTGTCAAACTTATTTGTAGGTATACTATAAAAGCTGTAACTCAGGAATCATTTGTGCCAGGCAGTCTCTGCGATCATTCCCAGTCATCTTCAACTCTTGGTATGCAATCTTTATGTAATTCCTTTGCTTAGAAAATAGGCTGTGCCTACAGATTTTTTTTTCTAACAGATGATGACAAAAGGTAGGTTGTGACTTCTAAGACTAGGTTACAAAATAGTCATGTTCATGCTCTGTATTTCTCTCACTTGTTTGTGTCAGTGAAGCCTGATACATGTCCTAAGCTGTTTAAAGAGAAGCCTATGTTGGAAGGAACTGATGCCTGCTCAGTAGTTCGTTCATACTCAAAGCTTGTAAATAAGCATAAATTGAGGTTCTCAGTGCAGTCCTAAAATACTCACAGCCCCATCCAGGGCCTTCATTGTGATCATATAACAGAATCCAACTCAGAAGTCTTCCCCAAAAGGCCAGACTGAGGTTCCTAACCTACAGAAATTGTAAGATAATAAGTTTTTTTTGTTTAGGCTCCAACATTGCTGGGTAACTGAATATGTAGCAGTAGGTGACTGGAAGATAATGGCTACCTAACAGATATAAATAATACAGATGCGGTTAGAAGGATTTTGAGGACAATCTATGAGGAAACCTAAATCATCTTGAACAATAAATGACAGGAGTAAGTTTTTTGAGAATGATTTCAAAATATGAAGTAAGAAAATGACTTAAAATGGAAAAATATCAAACTGTATAAATCTTGGTCCAAGTCTGAAGGTCTAAGAACCAAGAGTGATGGAAGTTTGAAGACAGAAGATGTCCTAGATCAAAAAAAAAAAATCTATTCTTCCTTTGAGTTTTTGTTCTATTTTGGCTTTGAATGGATTTGATGATGCCAATCCACAGTAGGGAGGTGTATTTTAGTTTTTCCATGGCTTCTACAAAATACCTGACACAATTTAAAGGAGGAGAAATTTAATTTGGGTCATTATTTCAGGGTTTTCAGTCCATGGTGAGCTGCTTCAGGGCAGAAACTTCATGGTGGGAGGCTGTGAGTGAGCAAAACTGCTTGATTTACAGTGACCTAGAAGCAAAACAGGATTGCAAAGGGTGGCAAGAGAAAAGGGCCAGGGATCAGATATATAATCCAAGGTGGTTCATCCATGACTCACCTACATATGGGCTTTGCTAATCCCCAATCAAGTTGACAATCAGTTAACTGTCCCAGGAGGAAAAACTTTACTTATTCTATTGATTAAAATGTGAATCTCATACAAATTTATCCTCACAAACCGTATTGGCTAGAGTTCTCTAGAGAAAAATATATTTCTATATTTTTTTCTATTTTTATGCCTATTGAGGCTCAATAGTTCACAATGGCCATCTGCATGCTAAGGAGTTAGAGGATCCAGTAGCTTCTCAGCCCAAGAAGCTGGAAGCCTCAGAATAAGAAGGATTAAGGACCCAGTATCAACCCGAGGGTAAAGGCCTAGGAGCTCCTTGGAGAGTCACTGGTGAGAGTCCATGTTGCATGGCTGAAGAAGTGGAATTCTGTGGGTGATAGCTACATCAAAAGACTCATCCCCTTGAGCACAATTGAGCTTGCAAGAGAAGACCAACTTTGTACTCCTTACATTTTTAGTCCATCTAGGCTGCAAGCCTATTGGATGGTGCTGCCCACAATCAGGGTGAGTTCTCCTGCCTCAGTGTTCTGGCCTGGATGTCAATAATCTCAGGAAAAATGCCCACCAATCCTCCCAGAAGTGTGCTTTACCAGTCTCCTAGTCATCACTCAATCTAGTGGAGTTGACAATCAATATTAACCATAATGCAGACACTCAAGAATAATATTTTTCCAGCTATCTGTCCATTCCTCTACACCATCAAATTGGCACATGAAATTACTCACTATAGTAAATAAAGATGTCACCTGGCATTTAATAACAGGAATCGCTTTTGTTATCGGGTGGGAAAGAGTTTAGCAAATATCTTGTCTGCAGTTATATAGAAGATTAAATATGTCTGATGAGCTTGACAAACTAGCTGAGGGGATTTCCAAGCACTTTATATTCTACTTTGTTTTTAACTGTGATATAGAAATAGAATTATTGCAAAATCTACCTAACCACTACAGATACCTATAAATATACAACAAATTAGCTTTTTAATATGTAGCATTTTCATATTATGTGGATGTATTATTATTAGTTGTTTTTTTTTTCTCTCCCTTTCTAGTTCAGGTTGGCCCTGAACTCACTATGTTGCCCAGGCTGTCTTTGAACTCATGGTGATCCTCCTGCCTCAGCTTCCTGAGTGCTGGAATTACAGGCATGTGCCACCACGCCTTGCTCATCTGGATATATTATTATAAATTCCCTCTGAGCCAATATTCCATTCCAATAATGAATGAACTCTGAGTATATAGGGAAATGGGAAGGGGATGTTGCCAGAACTTCTGCCGTGGGTCCTGACCTCCTGTGAGCTACCACAGCACAAGGCAAGAGAATAAACACAGGAAACTAGACTTAGAGTGAAGCTGAGTCTTGAAGCAAGATCAGTGCTGCTGATGGCAACAGAGACAAAGGCCCCCAAGCACATCCAATATTTATTGAATATAATTGTTGGAAGGAATAGGGAGCCAGGTATGCTTTGAACGCATCTAGTGAAATAATGCTGAACACCTGGCATGATGGTGCCAGGCAGGGCTGTGAGGCAGTAAGCACTGCTTATCTTGCTTGGACAGAACAAATAGATACTGGGACTGGGTGCAATTAGCATGCAATTCATTGGGTCAGTGGGAAGCCTTAAATCAGGGGAAAGGATTTTAATTGGGGTCACACTGACCTCAGCTGCAAGTAACTCAGCAGAGTCCTGCCACTTCACAGACCAGGGTCTATGTTTCTGTGGCAGCCCTTGAGGGAGGCACTATACTCACCCAGTCTGCTATCTGACACACCCGTTTGAGTCACGTAGAACTTCAATCTGACTCCTGATATAAAACAACAAAGTCGAATTATGGAAAGCAAAAAGCAGGTGCTACTCATAGCCCACTAGTACTTGGCAGGACTGTCTTCTTACATGAGTAGTTAATATTTAATTTTTGATAAAAATGAAGAAATTTAATTCGGGAAACAACACCTGTTATTGGACAGTGAATTTAAAGGGAGTATAACTTAGAAAACATATCAGTAAGAATAAAATAAGTAAAACTAAATTTTTATACTGTACTGATTTCCAAAGTTTTATTTTGAAGAAACAGAAATAATAGTAATTATTAAACCAATTGAGAGAAATTCTGTCAAGTCAACTTGCTAAAGGACCACTTCTTTTCTGCAGTGCTCTTATCTTTCCAGCCTCAGATCAATTTCCACTGTGTCCCTCAGAAACTCATTTAACCTTCCCGAGCTTCAATATGTCCTGGACAAAGATAGCTGCTTCACATGGTTATTATTTAATCAACGGGTAATAGCGATGATTTCTTATACAAGAACTTGGCAAATAGTAGGAACTGAGTAAAGGTTAATTAACTCCAAATCTTTATAATTGCCATGATATTGAGATGTGAAACTTTTACTTCTGAGGAGCATCAGTTTGGATAGCTTTCCCAATGATTCACTTGATCTGAAGTTCCTTTAGCAGCAAAGAAAATGACAGACAATAATTTGATTTATAAGTCCAACTCCTACTCTGTA